CGATAGCCGCCGGTCCGACCATGGCCTGCGATAGCCGCCATCCGACCATGGCCTGCGATAGCCGCCGGTCCGACCATGGCCTGCGATGGCCGCCGGTCCGATCATGGCCTGCGATAGCCGCCATCCGAACATGGCCTGCGATAGCCGCCGGTCCGACCATGGCCTGCGATAGCCGCCGGTCCCGGCGTCTCAAACCATCGCACCGCCATGTTTCGAAACAAGCACGCCAGTGTAGCCGGAAAGCCGACGGAGCGGCACCTGCGCCTCTCTCCAGGAAGTGTCGTGGCTGCGGTGGCGCGCGGGAGCACGCCCCAAACTGTAGCGCACGAATGCCGACCGCGGCGGCAGGCGCCGGGCGGACGTGCCTGGCCAGACGACCAAGCGCCAGGCAGCGGCGCCGGCCGCCACGGCCCGCGGCGGCCGGCGCCGCAGCTGTCGCGCAGCTAGCTCTCGTTAGGGCCGTACCGGGAAACAGGCACAGCGCCCGCGCGGACGGCGAGTGGGGCCCGGCGCCGCGCGCCTGCTGCAGATGCGCCGCCCCGGCCGGAAGTCCCGCCTCAGGCGGCCGTGCCCTCCGCACAGCCGTGCCATCACATCACGATCGCGTGGTGCTGCTCACAGCCGTGCCATCACACCACGATCGCGTGGTGCTGCTCACAGCCGTGCCATCACATCACGATCGCGTGGTGCTGCTCACAGCCGTGCCATCACATCACGATCGCGTGGTGCTGCTCACAGCCGTGCCATCACATCACGATCGCGTGGTGCTGCTCACAGCCGTGCCATCACATCACGATCGCGTAGTGCTGCTCACAGCCGTGCCATCACATCACGATCGCGTGGTGCTGCTCACAGCCGTGCCATCACATCACGATCGCGTGGTGCTGCTCACAGCCGTGCCATCACATCACGATCGCGTGGTGCTGCTCACAGCCGTGCCATCACATCACGATCGCGTGGTGCTGCTCACAGCCGTGTCATCACATCACGATCGCGTGGTGCTGCTCACAGCCGTGCCATCACATCACGATCGCGTGGTGCTGCTCACAGCCGTGCCATCACATCACGACCGCGTGGTGCTGCTCACAGCCGTGCCATCACATCACGATCGCGTGGTGCTGCTCACAGCCGTGCCATCACATCACGACCGCGTGGTGCTGCTCACAGCCGTGCCATCACATCACGACCGCGTGGTGCTGCTCACAGCCGTGCCATCACATCACGATCGCGTGGTGCTGCTCACAGCCGTGCCATCACATCACGACCCGCGTGGTGCTGCTCACAGCCGTGCCATCACATCACGATCGCGTGGTGCTGCTCACAGCCGTGCCATCACATCACGACCGCGTGGTGCTGCTCACAGCCTTGCCATCACATCACGATCGCGTGGTGCTGCTCACAGCCGTGTCCATCACATCACGATCGCGTGGTGCTTGCTCACAGCCGTGTCATCACATCACGATCGCGTGGTGCTGCTCACAGCCGTGCCATCACATCACGATCGCGTGGTGCTGCTCACAGCCGTGCCATCACATCACGATCGCGTGGTGCTGCTCACAGCCGTGCCATCACATCACGATCGCGTGGTGCTGCTCACAGCCGTGCCATCACATCACGATCGCGTGGTGCTGCTCACAGCCGTGCCATCACATCACGATCGCGTGGTGCTGCTCACAGCCGTGCCATCACATCACGATCGCGTGGTGCTGCTCACAGCCGTGCCATCACATCACGATCGCGTGGTGCTGCTCACAGCCGTGCCATCACATCACGATCGCGTGGTGCTGCTCACAGCCGTGCCATCACATCACGATCGCGTGGTGCTGCTCACAGCCGTGCCATCACACCACGATCGCGTGGTGCTGCTCACAGCCGTGCCATCACATCACGATCGCGTGGTGCTGCTCACAGCCGTGCCATCACACCACGATCGCGTGGTGCTGCTCACAGCCGTACCATCACATCACGATCGCGTGGTGCTGCTCACAGCCGTGCCATCACGTCACGATCACGCGTGGTGCTGCTCACAGCCGTGTCATCACATCACGATCACGCGTGGTGCTGCTCACAGCCGTACCATCACACCACGATCGCGTGGTGCTGCTCACAGCCGTGCCATCACATCACGATCGCGTGGTGCTGCTCACAGCCGTGCCATCACGTCACGATCACGCGTGGTGCTGCTCACAGCCGTGTCATCACATCACGATCACGCGTGGTGCTGCTCACAGCCGTACCATCACGTCACGATCACGCGTGGTGCTGCTCACAGCCGTACCATCACGTCACGATCACGCGTGGTGCTGCTCACAGCCGTGTCATCACATCACGATCACGCGTGGTGCTGCTCACAGCTGTACCATCACGTCACGACCACGCGTGGTGCTGCTCACAGCCGTACCATCACGTCACGATCACGCGTGGTGCTGCTCACAGCCGTGTCATCACATCACGATCACGCGTGGTGCTGCTCACAGCTGTACCATCACGTCACGATCACGCGTGGTGCTGCTCACAGCCGTACCATCACGTCACGATCACGCGTGGTGCTGCTCACAGCCGTGTCATCACATCACGATCGCGTGGTGCTGCTCACAGCCGTGCCATCACATCACGATCGCGCGTGGTGCCGCTCAGCCCGCCCGCGTGACAAGCGTTTTGGTGAAGCGTGCTGCGCCGTTTGGCGGTCGTTGTGGGAGAACCGTGCAGCGCAGCAGGGCGGCACGCGGCTCCTGGCTGTCGGGTCCAGTCTGGACACGTTCGCTGCGAGCATTGCATGCATACAGGCCACCAACACCGCAACATTCGGGCTCAGCACGATGCGCAGCTGGGGGGGGGGGGGGGGGGGGGGGGCACGTAACTGTTGGAAGCACGTGAACGTGCCGCTGTTACATGACGAATAACGAATTGAATAACGCTACATAATGTATAATGAATGGCGCTGGCAGAACATAAGAAAGCACCAGCACGTGTTTTAGGCATCAGCGCACGGCAAATTCTTCGCCCGACGTGCAGTGACGCCCAGACCCACCGCCAGTGTCCATCCGTTACCGAAGATACAAACCCGTCACGGGCCGATACCACCGTGGCCGGGATGAGATGCCGCGCAATCAAACCGCGTTTTCCCGACGGTGGTGCTAATCCTAAAGGTGCATCGTTCCGCCAGATATTTACACATTTTGCCCCCCACCTGCTATGATGGCAACGCGCATGATGACCCGCAAACGGTGGCGGACGAGTCATGATGACCCGCATACGGTGGCGGACGAGTCATCGACGCTGGGCGGCCCCCCCCCCCCCCCCCCCCCCCGACTGTGATCGGGCTTGTTTCCGGGTTGTTATCGGGCTTGTTTCCGGGCTCAGAGCCGTTCTATCTGTCGTTTTTTGCACGTCTCTTGGCGGTGGGATGTTGGATTATTGGAAATAGAAAGGTGCCGAAGGGCCTCACGCAACCGCAGAGGTTTTTCCGTTACCAAGAGTTTCCACCAGTAGGAGGAACCTTCCATAAACTAGGAGATATCACTGACCAGGAGCCAGAAACCAGGAAATATCACCAACGTACTCCCATGCAGGACACCCGTCGGTACCACGGTTGCTTGTAGCGCCATAAGCAGTCCCAACCGAGATGCTCCCTCTCTCTCTCTCAGGAGTTTCCCATGAGTGCTGCGCTGTTCCTGGAGAGGTGTCGCCGCGAAGAAGCTGACGATACAATGACGCAACTTCCATCGCGTTCGGCTGAGACATCTGACAGCAGCATGATGAAACGATCCTCCGCGCGCGTCAGTGCCGTCTCCGGCTGACACCAGTGGCGTTCCCAGAATATTCTTGCATGCACACGGCCCCGCACACCACGGCACAAGATTTCCATTGGCTTTGACAACGAATATGCCCTATTAAGGCCTCTTGTAGGGACCCGACAGGCCGCAGCCTCCTAAGCCCATCCATCCCTCCATCCTCGGACACCGAGCATTGATCAGTTACGCTGGAACTGATCACTGATCATTAGCGCTGACGATGCCTGGGACCACGCACCGTGACGCAGACATCGGCCGCAGCCATCGACCGCGGCTGCCGACGTCGACACCGCTTATTCACATCGACAGAGGCACCAGGAACAGACACGCACCACTGACACTGGCGATGCCACGGACCGACGCCAGCAGCGAGCGCCGCCGCCGCCGCGGACGCCGGCCTGACGCACGCCGCGGCGCTTACCGGAAATACGAGCAGCGCGGAGAGCAGACACCGCACCAGCGACAGGGTCGGCGCCAGCGCTGAGCGCCTCCGCTCGGCCGGTCCCGTCTCCGCCGCGATCTCCGGCAGACCGCTGATGGCCGCGCGCATGCAGGCGTCCCGCTGAGAAGCAAGGGGACCGCTGGTGAGGGTGGGAGACTGCTGGTTAAGGTGGAGACCGCTAGTGAAGGTGCGAAAAGCCTATCTGAAGACACCTAGAGAGATAGAGCGAGAGAGCGCGAGAGAGAGAGAAGAGAGAGAGAGGGGGGGGGGGGGGGTCGAAAAAAGTCAGATCAGTGTACCCTCGTGCACTGATCTGACCGGCGACGTACTCTATACACATTTCATTAGTCACTGGTGAGGATTACGGATACCAATGACGAAGAGAGCAAGGAGATTCCCAGCGACGGAGCAAGGAAAACACCAACAAAAGCAAGGAAATAATGGCGAGGGACCTATGGGATCGTTAGAGGGAGAGAGAGCAGGGGGATCAGTGGCGGTGAAGCCGTCGGATTAATGACGACGAAGCGAGGAGAAGTCCGGCGGGGAGAGCGCCAGGAAACTCACCAGCTACGGAACCGGGACATCAATGGTGAGCGAGAGAAACGGGACATCAATGGTGAGCGAGAGAAACGGGACATCGATGGTGAGCGAGAGAGCCGGGCCATCAATGGTGAGCGAGAGAGCCGGGCCATCAGTGGTGAGCGAGAGAGCCGGGCCATCAATGGTGGGCGAGAGAAACGGGACATCAAGGGTGAGCGATAGCATCACTGATTGAAAGACTGACAAAGGTCGGCGTCGAGAAAGCGGGGGACCACCCGAGGAGGAGCCAGCAGATCACCGTCCACGAAGGAAAAGGTCACAAGCGAGGGCCTGGTGTCGTTCCCTGAAGCCGGTACTGTACAGCAGAGAGCAATACGCCTACACCAGCAGGCAGCGTTCAGCTGAGTCCGCGCCCGCCTCGCAAATCAGACAAGAACCGAGCGACGACGCGCACGCCGGTCGCCCCGTCGAAGCCGGACGAGCGCACGAGGCGACCACGTTGTCCAGTGCGCTCTCGTTTTAACGGGACCACCCGGCCACAGACCTCCGCTGCTCGGGAGTCCGAGCGCGGCCGTGCGCAGCTGCCACATACATTATGAATCAAAGCGGCACCTGGGCACCGGCATCGGAGGCCGAACACGCACCGGTTACACATCTGGGAGCCGGCCACAGTGGCGCCCGTACCACGCCCCGACTCGGCGCATCACCCCAGGCCAGTCTCCGGTGTCGAGGTAACACGCCGGACACAGCGGCGCCCGTACCACGCCCCGACTCGGCGCATCACCCCAGGCCAGTCTCCGGTGTCGAGGTAACACGCCGGACAGAGCGGCGCCCGTACCACGCCCCGACTCGGCGCATCGCCCCGGGCCAGTCTCCGGTGTCGAGGTAACACGCCGGACAGAGCGGCGCCCGTACCACGCCCGACTCGGCGCATCACCCCGGGCCAGTCTCCGGTGTCGAGGTAACACGCCGGACAGCCGACACCACCTGACGTGACGCCGGACATGTCTCTCACTCTCACCTTCACCCTCCCCAGCGGTGTTACTTGCCGAAATCGGCTGGGGACGGGGCTGAGATGATCGAGTTGACCTAGCGGACCACCAAACGCGATTTCGTTCGGGATTTCAGCCGCTTTGGTTTGTCTTAATCCAACTATGTTATTGCATGAAAAATGTGCCAGCTTTTGCACTGGCCTAACATACGTGGGAACTCGCATTATAAAACACTTGGGTATCATTCAAAACACTATACAAAATACTGAATTATCTATAGGACACTATTTCGTGCAAATGAAAAAAATATCGATGATATCTTTAAATTTCTAGCTAACGAGAGTTCTGAGGCATTTGTTGCATTTCATTGGCCAGTAATCTCTTTTTACCTATGTGCATTGGGAAGCATTGAAGAGAGAGCAAGAAGAGCATTGAGGAATTTCAGCTAAAACTCCCATGCGATGCAACTCCTCACACTCAGCGGAGATCTGCTATAATTCCCTCTCCCTAACCAACACATCTGACTCGCAGCGTCTCACGACTCGCCCATCTCACTGGACGCATTCCGTCCCACTCCACTTTCCAAGAACGTACCCTGTGCCACCCCACTCTCCTATAACGTACTCTGTACCTCCCCACTGTTCTATAACGTACTCCGGTCCCAGTTTTTCAGTTCTCCGCGACCCCTCTCCGTCCCGCTCCAGCTCCCCGGGACGCACCCCCGTCCCGCTCCAGCTCCCCGGAACGCACCCCCGTCCCGCTCCAGCTTCCCGGGACGCACCCCCCGTCCCGCTCCAGCTCCCCGGGACGCACACCCCCGTCCCGCTCCCGCTCCCCGGGACGCACCCCCGTCCCGCTCCAGCTCCCCGGGACGCACCCCCGTCCCGCTCCAGCTCCCCGGGACGCACCCCCGTCCCGCTCCAGCTCCCCGGGACGCACCCCCGTCCCGCTCCAGCTCCCCGGGACGCACCCCCGTCCCGCTCCAGCTCCCCGGGACGCACCCCCGTCCCGCTCCAGCTCCCCGGGACGCACCCCCGTCCCGCTCCGGCTCGGCGGGACACACCCTCGTCCCGCTCCAGCTCCCCGGGACGCACCCCCGTCCCGCTCCAGCTCCCCGGGACGCACCCCCGTCCCGCTCCAGCTCCCCGGGACGCACCCCCGTCCCGCTCCAGCTCCCCGGGACGCACCCCCGTCCCGCTCCAGCTCCCCGGGACGCACCCCCGTCCCGCTCCAGCTCCCCGGGACGCACCCCCGTCCCGCTCCAGCTCCCCGGGACGCACCCCCGTCCCGCTCCAGCTCCCCGGGACGCACACCCCGTCCCGCTCCAGCTCCCCGGGACGCACCCCCGTCCCGCTCCGCTCCCCGGACGCACCCCCGTCCCGCTCCAGCTCCCGGGACACACCCCCGTCCCGCTCCAGCTCCCCGGGACGCACCCCCGTCCCGCTCCAGCTCCCCGGGACACACCCCGTCCCGCTCCAGCTCCCCGGGACACACCCCCGTCCCGCTCCAGCTCCCCGGGACGCACCCCCGTCCCGCTCCAGCTCCCCGGGACGCACCCCCGTCCCGCTCCAGCTCCCCGGGACGCACCCCCGTCCCGCTCCAGCTCCCCGGGACGCACCCCCGTCCCGCTCCAGCTCCCCGGGACACACCCTCGTCCCGCTCCGGCTCGGCGGGACGCACCCTCGTCCCGCTCCGGCTCGGCGGGACGCACCCTCGTCCCGCTCCGGCTCGGCGGGACACACCCTCGTCCCGCTCCGGCTCCCAATGGCGTACCTTGTCCGGGACAGCCGCCGGAGAGGGCCACCTGGGCCGTCACGGCGTACAGGCGCGCCCGCGTCAGCACATCGTCCAGCGCCGGCAGGGTGATGAAGCAGAAGGCGATGCAGGCAGCCGAGAACGCGCGGCGCCGGCCGGCGCGGCGCGCCGCCGCCGCCACCGCGTGCACCGCCACCACCAGGTGCGTCGTCACCGACTCCAGGTTGCAGAAACCGCCGCGCGCCTGCCGGACGACGGGATGGGGTCGGTCAGGGACGAAACGGTGGGCTGTGAAGGGTACGGCAGCAACAGCGTCGCACGAGGAACGGGTGACACGGTTGTAGATGTTATAGGCATGGAATAGTGAGGCATGTATGGATACATGTGTGAGTTGTCAACGGAAGGCCCAGGTCGTTGCGTTGGACGAAGACACCGGACAGCATAGACTGCGCAAAAGGTGTGGATTAGGTGTGAGCTCGTCCAGCACGTTACATCATAGTTGCAGCTGTTTTGCTGACGAACTGACGAACCCGTGAAACGTGACGAACCAGCACAAGCTGACGAACTCGTGAAAACAATTATTTTCATCGCAACAACGCTGATTGGGATGCTGACACGTAAACTCCTGAGCAAAATACGCCATATTTGAGCTCAAATGCTCAAATGTGACGAAATAATGTTCAATTTGAATGAAGATTGAACATGCATATCGCGTGCACGTCCTCTCGTAGTGCGTAATCTGATAACGCGTCGAAGTCACAAGTCTTCCGATCTGACCTGATCTGACTCGATTATCACCCAGCGGATCAAAGTGCGTGGACAACTCTGCAGCTGCCGCTCGTTAGCAACTCCCGGAAGGGCTTCGGGCAAGCGGCCTGGTGGGCTACGGACGGCGACCGCTGGAGCTCCGCCACACACAGTGGACAGTTGCGACGAGGTTAGGTAGGTATTGGGCTTAAAGTGCGTATCCCCCGCAATAGTTATTTGCGCTCCAGTGGCCAATTTTGACAAGATTATGGCATTTGTGAGCTACAGAGGGGAAAGCCGCGAGACGTTCATTCCGCCATAAACAACGTCTCCAGCTCCTCACGCGGCCGAGGAAGCACGTCGGCCGAATGTGCCATCACGAGGCACCAATCCCAGAGCGGGTGCAAGGCTCGGCCCCACCGGCACGCACAGACCAGCCTGCCTCTGGCCAGGGAGGGGAGGACACGGCACGGGCCGGCCACCTCACCACACCGTGCGCCGCGAGCTAGATCATCCCGCAGTCCCGGCTCGCAAACGTGGGCCAGAGGCAGAGTGGTCCGTTCACCTGGAACCCCGCTACACGCGAGGAAACCCTCCTTGGCTCGTTTTCTGAACCTAAAGCCACGCGCACATCCCATTTGGGACAAAACGATCAAACAAGGAATCACAAATGCACAGTCCAAGCTGAAGCCTGTGCATCACGTTTCACCACGGCCGCGTGACGCTCCAGTCAGAGCCTTCAGCTCACAGCGCGGGCCTATACCATACCGCACGCACCTGCACCAGCAGGTCCAGCGAGCTCTCCAGCTGCGAGGGCGTCAGGTCCACGGCCCGCTGCAGGAACTGGCAGATCAGTGCGCTCGTCTCCCGCCGCTCGTCGTCCAGGGACAGCATCCTGGCGACGCGACAACGGCCGGCTCATGACCACTGTGTGTAACGCTACGGTCACCGATGGTCAACGGCCGGCTCATGACCACCGTGTGTGACGCTACGGTTACCGATCGTCAACGGCCGGCTCATGACCACCGTGTGTAGCGCTACGGTTACCGATGGTCAACGGCCGGCTCATGACCACCGTGTGTGACGCTACGGTTACCGATCGTCAACGGCCGGCTCATGACCACCGTGTGTAGCGCTACGGTTACCGATGGTCAACGGCCGGCCCATGACCACCGTGTGTGACGCTACGGTTACCGATGGTCAACGGCCGGCTCATGACCACCGTGTGTGACGCTACGGTTACCGATCGTCAACGGCCGGCTCATGACCACCGTGTGTAGCGCTACGGTTACCAATGGTCAACGGCCGGCTCATGACCACCGTGTGTAGCGCTACGGTTACCGATGGCCAACGGCCGGCTTATGACCACCGTGTGTGACGCTACGGTCACCAATGGTCAACGGCCGGCTCATGACCACCGTGTGTAGCACTACGGTCACCGATGGTCAGCGGCAGTGCAACCCTAGCCAAAGCCTCCGAAAAGTTCCAGGCTAGAAGCTGAAGCTTGCTGTGCAGCGTGATGGCGACGACGCTGGGACGCGCCCGCTGGGGTTGGCGGCTGGTGGAGCACAGGTTTGCTGGGACGCGCCCGCTGGGGTTGGCGGCGGGTAGAGCACAGGTTTGCTGGGACGCGCCCGCTGGGGTTGGCGGCGGGTAGGGCACAGACACTGCCATCACCGGGACGCCCACACCGCCGTGCACCGCTGGTGTAGCGGGCTCGTACCCCCCTCCCCCCCCCCCCCATGGCAGCGCCGCGCAGACCTCACGTGCCAGAGCCGCGTGCCCCTCAGGAGGCCGAGTTTTGCCTTGCTCATGTTGAGGAACCGCGCAGTTTTCAAGCGGCCGAGCCTCAGTGACAAAGTCGTGTATCTCTAACGTGACAGTCGTGTACCTGGCACGCAAGACGCACTGCATTGTCATGAGTCGTGAATGTATTATCGTGGGTCGTAAATGTATTGTTGTAAATCGGAATATAATGTTGTGGGTTGTGAATGTATTGTAGCGAGTCGTGAATGTATTGTCGTGGGTAGCGAATGTCCTAAATGACAGAGTCGTGTATCCCTCGGATGGGAGTCATAACAGCTCACGAGACAGCCGCTGTCGCACTGCTGGCGTGGCAGATCCATGCATTCCTCACGTGACAGAGTCATGGAGGGTCTGGCAGCAGGCCATGCCCAGCTCCACCAGGGCCGGCTCGGTCGTCAGCTCTTGCTGGCAGCTCGTCAGCAGCTGCAGCAGCCGACGACTGACCCGCTGCCGCACCTCGTCCTGCTGCAGCAGCTCCAGCAGCGTGGAGAAGCTGGTCTGCGGCAACGAGAGGAGCCGCCCGCCGCCGGCGTGATCCACACCGGCGAGGCGCCGACTGACGCCGCCGCAGCCGCGCACGGCCCGTGGGGCAGGGCGGGAGAAGGAGGGGGGGGGGGGGGGGCAGGGGTCAGGGAGATACTCAGCTGCCTAACTACGTGCTTATCACACACTGGATTGCTTTTGGCACAACACAGAGCGCAGAAGAACAGGCAGCAAATAACAAATACGTCAACAAAACGGGTTGCATAAAATCATGCCAGATCGCTGTGGTACCTGTCTCCCGGGTTCTGAAAATACTACTACACCGTGTAGCGACCGGTGATTAGCGGTTTATAAACAGTTCAGAAAGCATTCCGTGAGGCCACAGTCATGCAGAACGTGTCCAAATCAGCGACTTTAACTTGTCAAGTCTGCCAATACGACCTGCATTTCGGTTTCGCGCACTCCTGTACATCTGTTCATCTTTTAGACAGCATGTACCACAGGCCCGACGCCACCTTGAATATAAGGGCCTGCCTGCGGGCAGCCCGCCCGGGGAACATCCGCCGCCTCGTCACCAGCACGCGCGGCTCCAGAGGGCACCACTCACCATGTGCACCAGATGGTGCAGCTGCGATCCGTCGCCGATTGCCTTGGTGAGCAGCGCCTCCAGCTGCGGGTAGTGCTGCTCGAACTGTCTGTCCGGACCGATGTGGTCCAGCACGTCCTGAAGAAGGACCTTCAGCTGCCGCGGCTGGGGGCACACGGACCAGGCGGTCACCTCCGACCCCGGACCTGAGGAGAGGCACCTTCAGGTGCCGCGGCTAGGGGCACACGAACCAGGCGGTCACCTCCGACCCCGGGCCTGAGAAGAGGCACCTTTAGGTGCCGCGGCTGGGGGCACACGGACCAGGCGGTCACCTCCGACCCCGGGCCTGAGGAGAGGCACCCTCAGGTGCCGCGGCTGGGGGCACACGAACCAGGCGGTCACCTCCGACCCCGGACCTGAGGAGAGGCCCCTTCAGCTGCCGCGGCTGGGGGCGCACGGACCAGACGCATCACCTACCACCCCGGATCGCCTGGATAGTGGCACCTTCAGCTGCTGCGGCTAGGGGTGGAGCGACACGATGTGCTGTCCCCAGTGTGGGGGACTAGCACGTCCTGGAACACGTGCCATCGAAAATAGTTGCTAACTTCAGGTGGGCGTAAGATGGCACTCGACGTAGTCTCCGTGATCGGCGCTTTTCGTTAGAGGAGCGCAATAAGGTCAAGGGCTGCAGGGTATTAGCCACTACAACCATGATCAACAAGCAATTTGTGCCTAGCTTGCCTCATATGAAGAGCTGCATGCAGTCACGAGCTGCTGCAACTTGTCCCACGACGACATAACAGCCCCGAGCGAAACATTCACGAGCTTTGGAAACGCCGCTCATCATAAGCTCATCTGAAACGCCCCCCCCCCCCTTCCTCCCCCCCCCCCCCCGCTGCCCATCGGTGCTGGTTCACGCTGGGCCACCTGGCACGAGTCGGTCAGCCGTCGCCCGGTCAGGGAGTATTCGGCAGCACGTGCTTCGGTGAGCGGAGTCGTCCGTAACGGAGTCACACCGGTGGCGGTACGGACACGGAGTCAGGCAGGTTAGACAGAGTCAGGCGGGGTCGGGCGGAAGGGAGTCACACCGGTGGCGGTACGGACACGGGGTCAGGCAGGTTAGACAGTCAGGCTGGGCCGGGCGAAGGGAGTCACACCGGTGGCGGTACGGACACGGGGTCAGGCAGGTTAGACAGAGTCAGGCGGGGTCGGGCGGGGTCAGGCGGGGTCAGGCAAGGTCAGGCAGGGTCCGGCAAGGCCAGACAGGGTCAGGTAAGATCGAGCAGGGTCGGAAGTGGTCGGGAAGGGTGGGGGGGGGGGGGGGGGAGTCAGATGAGCTCCGGCAGTCAGGCGGGGCCAAGATAGGCTCCTGGTGTCAGGCTGGGCGCGCCGGTCGGCGGCCAAACCGCCGCAATCCCCCGCGCAGTGGCCACCCAGCGCGAGGCTACGGCGGTGGCGCGGCGCCACCCTGCGGTCGAGAACGTGCTGCAGCCTGGGCTGACATGTGTGCGGTGACGGCACGCAGGGATGCCCCCCGCGCGGGCTGCCACGCTGACCTCCCAGCTGACGACGTCGTCGTCACGGCTGGAGGCTCCACCGAGCTATCAGCGAGCGTGAAGCGGCCAACGGTACAGCGACAGGGGGCAGCTGGCTGGCTGTGGTGCTGGTGCCACGGGCCGATCGGTGAGGGTTGCTACTGCGACATTAAGCCAGCTACTAAGGCAATGCGCACTGAGTGCACAAATATGAGAATGGACCCTTTCGAGGGCTTATGACACCAGACGCACCTGCGCGCCGGTGCGATCCCGCAGGGAGTGTGTGTATCGGAGGTGAAACTTATGACACCAGACGCACCTGCGCGCCGCTGCGATCCTGCAGAGAGTGTGTGTATCGGAGGTGAAACTTATGACACCAGACGCACCTGCGCAACGCTGCGATCCTGTAGGGAATGTGTGCATCGGAAGTGAAGCTCATGACACCAGACGCACCTGCGCGCCGGTGTGATCCTCCAAGGAGTGTGTGTATCGGAGGTGAAACTTATGACACCACACGCACCTGCGCGCCGGTGCGATCCTGCAGGGAGTGTGTGTATCGGAGGTGGGGCTTCCGCTCAACTCGTACGTCAGGCTCAGGGCATTCGTCCAATGCGGCGAGGGACAGCTGTCTGGAGAGACGACTGCCGATGCTGGGGGAACAAGTCATCGAAGGAAAACTGCGGTGCTTCGAAAGATAGGCGCTGCAAACACGAAACAGATCGGAGCGCAGCGGCGTGCCTTCGCACATCTCCTGCTCCCCACCGTCGGCAGAAGTCTTCGTTACGAACCTTGTTGTGCAGTGTAATGCGAGCGGCTACATCTGCGATCTATCTGGGGATAATATCATACATCCAGGTGTTCCTGTCACCCCGCCTTCACACCTATCCAGCAGCACCCCATGCACCAGAGAGCAGCGATGAGCAGCAGTAAAACTGCGGGCAGCGCTGAGCAACTCTGTCCACCTGTCAGGAACTGTGAGCAGCTGTGCGATCCAGGAAGCCACCAGGAACCGCAAGCAGCTGTCCAAAACTATCGCAATCTGCGCCGAACTGCTAACAACTCCGAAGCGCCGCCAGAGACTGCTAACAGCTATAGAGACCTGTCCCCGCCGGCTTCTGAGGTCAGGAGGCGCTGCGGAGGATCATCAGGCGCAGCGAGCCGCGACGGCGGTCAGCCCCTCCCCCCCCCCCCACCCCCTGCACGACGGCCGCAGACCGCCGAGCTCGGCTGCGGCACCGAGTCACACACGGCACGCACGGCCGTCAGCTGGCGCGGGCGAGCGGTGATGCGACTCCAGGCCGACTGACGCGCAGCTCGCAGTCGGAGCACGACGCACCCACGCACACTGTCGGCGTTCCAAGGGGCGCGGTGATCATCGCCGAGGACTCGCCCGACGTGAGGCGCCCGCTCTAAGCCGGGCTATGTGAGCGGCGCCTGCTCTGAGCCGGGCTATGTGAGCGGTGCCTGCTCTGAGCCGGGCTATGTGAGCGGCGCCCGCTCTAAGCCGGGCTATGTGAGCGGCGCCTGCTCTGAGCCGGGCTATGTGAGCGGCGCCCGCTCTGAGCCGGGCTATGTGAGCGGCGCCAGCTCTGAGCCGGGCTATGTGAGCGGCTGCAGTACGCGCACACTGCTGTCACCAGATGGATAACACACACCGAATGGCCTCCGTCCATGGTGGCGCCCGCTATATATATATATATATATATATATATATATATATATATATATATATATATATATATATGTGTGTGTGTGTGTGTATACATGATTGATTTATTTATATATATAAATATATATGTAGAAATCAACCTACTGATGTTTTCCGATAAGTTCCATCCCTTCATGAATTCGGAAACACCAGGGGTCGCATCGACCTCTCTCCCATCATTCAGCGTTATAAAAACGGCGACTCTGGGCGTCGGTTAAGGGGGTGGGGGGGGGGGGGGCTACAAATGTTCCCGACCAGTTCGGCACGGGTTTTAATTCGTACCGCACGCGAAAGCGCATAATTTAAAACGTGTTTTGTTTTAGGTTCGAGTCACTCATGTAACCCGAAGAGACACCGTTCCATTCCTTTCTTTCCTCTTTTCAAGCACGTGAAATCCTTATACCTGTTCACGCAGAAGCTAAGTATACCAGCCCTATGGAGACCTTTGTCTCTGTTGCTGTACATAAAACCTTTTTAATTTGATATGTGATGTGGCCAAGTAGTCTAGATTATATGCACTGCACTGAGAAGAACTTACGGAACTGCGATCTGACACTTTCCGTCGGCGCGAGGAAACGGATGCCCCTCCGCGCTGGCAGGGAGAGGACGAAAACATTCACATTATTTATTTCCAGTCAACGCCCAGAGCCTTTCGGGAGAACGGGAAAAACCTGTGAAAATCTGATCGACCAAGAGTGCTCAGGCATTGGGCTAGACAGCGTCCCTGCCGCGGCACTGGGCCCTACCAAAAAACGCAAGGAGATCAAGGGCAACGTGTGAAAACTCCTTAGCAATCAGATTGACCCGGACGCGGACATATAGGGTACGGGCAACAGCGTAATGTCCCTGGCCAGCGTAATTAACCCCAAAATCCCACCCCCCGCAGCACCCCCTCAATCAGCAAAGAATTAACTTTGTCTGCTTATGAACTGTTTACTTTGGCCAGCATCCGCTCTTGGTCGTCTGTAGACTAAAAGACGTCCAACTGCGTTGTGTATAATGTTTTGTTTTGTTAGAAATCTGCGTCCGGCTGTGAGCCTCTTTGGAGCCTTTGGGCCCTCTCGGCATGGTTCACGAGGGGCATGGTCCTGTGCTTTTCCCCTCCCAGTCTGTATCCGTCACCGACCCGAGCAGCCTAATAGGTGGGGCCCGCCAGGAGCATAGGACCATCCATTCAAATAAGACGTAACCAAAGCATAGCATGGATAGCCCTGGAATGATCGAGACTGCCAGAGCAGGTAAAAGATGTAGCCCCCAACAAGAGCGCGAGGTCAGCTCCCGAGCAGGCCATCATAAAGGGCCCCGTAAGGGCGTAGGGACCTTCACCCAAATAGGAAGTCCCCGAGACCCAAAGTAGAGGGCCCCCGAATGATCGGGTGTGCCAGAGGAGGGAAACAGATAAGGTTCCCAAAAAGAGCGTAGGGCCCTCAATTCAAATAAGAAGTACCCAGAACCCTGTGCATAGGGCTCCGCAAGATGGACTGTACCCGAGCAGATTATCAGACGGCCCCCGCAGGAGTGCAGGGCCCTAAATTCAAAGGTGGTGAACAGACGGGCCCCCGACAAGAGCGTAGGACCATCCATTCAAATATAAAGTCCCCAAGACACAATGTGGAGGCCCCCCAACAACCGAGTGTGCCCGAGCAGGTTAGCAGATGGGGCCGCCGACAAGAGCGTAGGGCCTTCCGTTCAAATATGAAATACCCACGACATGATGTAGAGGGACCCCGAATGATCGAGTGCGCGACATCATATCAACAAATGGGGCCCCCGTCAAGAGCGCAGGGCCCTCCATTCAAATAGAAAGTACCCAAGGCCCGACGTACAGGTCACCCAACAGTTCAATGTGCCGGGGCAGCTTATCAGAAGGGGCTACGACAATAGCACAAGGCCCTGCATTCAAATAAGAAGTACCCTGGCCC